GGGTGTGTCAAGGGGCCATTGACCCCCTCCATGTACCAATCCTTTTTTGATTCTACATAGAATAGCTCCTCTTAATTTTGATATTGACTAAAAATTGCTGAAAATGACCCACTGCTCTCAAATTCCAGGATTTCCCCTATATTCTCATCAGAAATGTGTATTTGTATAGCTCAAATGTGTATTTTCAAGATAAGATGATCATCATGGTGACTTTTGTGAATATGGAAAGTGACTATGACTGCGAAAAACTTCAAAAGATCAAAATGGCATGTGGTGTCGGAGTAAACGGATTATGTCCATGGAAGAGAAGTACATTTTGAATGCATATAGGAAATGATGCACTTTTCCAATTGTACCAAGCCTGTTTTTGTACATCAACTAGAAATGTGTTTTTTGTATGCAATGAATTTAGGTTGGGTAGATTTTTCAACATTGAGAGCTTTCCTCCCTTCTCTCATATATATATATATAAATCATCATTGGTTGTCGCATTATTTACCAAAAAATATATTTAAACCCTAAAAAAGTGTGAAATTACCGTGGACACCTCAATTTAGGTAACAAATTATCACATCCCTGTGCCTATTAGTAGTGGTGATTAAAATTGCACAAAAAACTTTAACCCAAAGCTTGCTCTAAAACTTCAACCAAGTCCAATTAAGTTGTTTTTGCCCTCTAAATTACGAAAATTTGGTTGAGCACACTCTACAACAAATAGTCAACATCATATCAAGTGTGGTGGAGCTCTTAACACTGGCCAAAAAGTAATTCTTACACACCATATAAATGCCTCAACCATATAATAGTCTACAATCTCTCTACAATGAGTTATCTAAAACTGCATTAACAATTTTACTCCAAAAATAAAACGTGAAGTGCAATGCTGATGCGGACAGTGTCTCTGAATAGGTGAGCTAGGAAATATATTTTACTTTATTGGGGTAAATCTTTCCACTGATCTGAAAATGATCCATCTTTAAATAAGAATCTTGTGATTATCCGGGAAATCTACAGCAGATATTCCCAGGATATAGTAGGTAATGCTTGATATCCTAGTCAGGTATTTTTGTATAATACAGCCCAAAGATGTACATTTAAAGAAAACAAGGAAACCTACTGGTTTTGACCTTCAGGGCCAGGAGAATATGTCAAGGTTTCAGCAATTGTAACTAAAGAACTGTATGTGATCTGTAAATAGAAGGAAGACATGAATTAGTTGTAATGCCACAATATAACATATACATCTAATATTAACAACAATGCCTAAATGATGGTCACTTAAGTTTTAATACATTTACAACAGCAATAGATTATCACCCTGTGTTCTCAGCCCTGACAACCCCTGACAACAAAGTGTGAACTGTTCTATACACCATGGCCACTAGCTTACATATTTCTCCATTCATAAAAAGTCAACTAAATACACATCTTCTAACCGACTTCTAGACTACTTCATCACATGCCTATGTAAAAGATACTTTAAAAACAACATTATTGTCACTGGCTTCTTTATATGCACATTTACACTTAATATGGTTTTGTTATATCCTCACAACAATTTCTCATAATTCATCAAATCAATTTGTTTAGTGTATTAAATCAATTTGTTTATGGCAGACTATTTTCTCATATATATGACACACCGTTTACTATTTCTGGTTCAGGACATCAGTGATTCTCAAAAACAAGCATTTGAGAGAATACATTGAATTTCCTAAATGGGAAAATTGATTCTCAAGTTTGTTCTCAAGTTCTTCTAAGAGTATTCTCATACCGACAACCCATGATAATGAATTAATCGTGCTACTGATCATGAGCTGGTAGGTGGCATAATATTCATTTGTAGTATATTGATGATAATAACAAATACCCTTTTCGACCTAATAAGCACATGAGTGCTTAGAAAAACACAGAAGGGGTGCACTTATTAAGCATTTTGTGCTCATGATCAAGCTGGTCAATCTGGCTGTGTCTGTATGTGTTCAAACCAGGGTCATTAATTTGAACAAACTTGGTAGCCCTTCATCCAAGCATGCTATTGGCTAAACAAGAGGCCCAGAGGGCCTGTATCGCTCACCTGGATACCTTAGCAATCATGGCAAAATATTCTCCAAATGAGATCAAGGGAATATGCCAGACCCCAAGGCCAATCCTTGTAGCATAGTAATACACTTTTTTGGCCCCACCCCTTAGCCCGGGGGGTCAGCCCCACCATTTACACAATTTTGAATCCCTGCCTCCAATGAATGTTTCCGACCAAATATAATCAATATCCATGGCAAAGTTCTACAGAAGAAGTCGCTTAAAGCAATATAGCCAAATCACCCTTTTTGGCCCCGCCCCTCAGCCCCCTGGGGGGTCAGCCCAATTATTTGTAAAATTTTGAATCTCCACCACCTAGGGATGCTTCCAGTCAAATATGCATGGTTGATATACATCTCTTAGTTCCAGAGAAGAAGTCGCTTAAAGCAGTATAGCCAAATTGCCCTCTTTTTCCCTGGCCCCTCAGCCCCCTGGTTGGTCAGCCCCATCATTTGTACAATTTTGAATCCCCACCACCTAGGAATGCTTCCAGTCAAATTTAGTTAAATTCCAATCAGTGGTTAAGAAGAAGAAGTCGTTTGAAGAAATTGTTGACGCACGAACGTACCGACGACAGACGCACCTTCGGACCAGGTGAGCTAATAATAGTAAATATCAAAATGTTCAGAGACATTGACAGGGAGTCAAGGTCATTCAATTTAACAAATTTAATTGCCCTTTATCCAAGATACTCCAGGGATTACATGTATATGCTCACTTTTGCTCTCTGCATCCCTGGAATATGTTGTGTGGCGCTGTAAAAGTATTTGAATAATACATAATTATTTTACATTAAGCAGACACCCTAGTTCCCTATACACCTGCATTACCAAACAGGTTGTATACAATCCTGATTTATCACAGGTAACATGGTAATTAACATGGCCCTTTCAGGCAGGTTAGCTAACACAGAAACAGACCAGATAGTGAGTTACAGTAGCTGCAGTTTAAATACTTACATTTTTTGAGATGACCGTAAGCGTTTTGTTCTTTGGGTCACATTCTGAATGCTCACTCCCATATGCGACTTTCTGGTCCCCTATTAACTACAAAGCGATAAATAAAATACATTTAAATTGACGTTTTTTTGATCATATTAATTTTTACAACTTAACATGACTAAATTACAACATAGTGAATATTTCAAAATTTTGGTTTTGTCTCTCAGCAAAATCCTTGCTTTATGAATTTGATTCCCTGGTCTAGGGTGTACATTGTGTATTAAATTAAATTAAATATGGTATATATATTTATAATTAACTGTTCAGGGAAGAAGGTTTTCAAACACTGACTTAAAATAACACCCAAACTGTCCCCCTTTTGTTCCACGGGAAAGGACTAGTCACCACTGTTCAGCAGATTACACTTCTTATATGTCCGAGGGAAACATAATATTAACCAGAATGTGACATAAACAGAAAACGTGTTTTCAGCCATCAAAACATATTCAAGTGATGTGACGTATGACTAATAATGATTTTGTAACTGATCATGACAAAAATTGTTATATAGTTTTGTTATAAGCCTAGATCGATCTGTAGTCAGCTGCTAGCCTTTATCCTGCTAATTATAAGAGTTCAAGGGATGTAAAAACAATTTCCTGGATATAATATTTATACCAGTCTTAGTCTAGAAGACTGCAATAATCCACAAGCCCAAATAAAATTTTGTTAGCTCAAACACTACAAAATATGGATCACAGGGAAAATCCAGGAATTTGAGAGCATAGGGCCATTTTATACAATTTTTAGTAAGTATCAAAATTATGATGAGCCATTCTATGTAAAATTAAAAGAAAATTGGAACATGGAGGGGTCAATATCAGTTTTGAGGGGTCAATGGCCCGGCCCCCCTCCAGGATTATTCCTGGACATGACGTCTCGAGATATCACATTCACAAATCGATTGTCATTTTGACCCTTTGCCAAGAAAATATACAATGTTTGTTTTGAACATTGTTGCAGTATCTACCATTTGAGTGCACCATCTCAATGGCACTTCTTCATGCTGGTCATAGCATAACATAATTCAAATTAGGTTTGAAAGTAATTTCCTCGAAGCTATGGTATCGACTCTCATAAAAACGTTGCTGTACAGCATGTTCATGATCAAGCTCCAACAGACTGACCGTAGGTATATATGGCAACTTCAACCTAAATCGTCAATATCATTTCTTTACGATTTTCCTGGTAACAGGTTCTTGAAAATCAGTGTCCATAACTGTATGTTTCCTGCTCTAAACCCATTTAATACATTGTCCTTTATCATTGATTATGACAGTCTGCCACCAGGTCTAGTTTTTCAGTACAACATGTCGGCTGTCAGTGGCATGCATGACACCAACTTTCTGGGTTAATTTGTTCAAATCTTTTTATAGTGAACATATGCCAACTTTTAATTAGAAACAAATATGGGTAATTCTAATTTTAAATGGTGAAGTCTCGGTATAGGTGGCGCTATTCGATCATGTGATACATGTAAACAAGAGTACCGCAGGGCGGAACAATATACGCCCGTCGAATGCCATATAGTGTTATATACTTTCTTACATTGAAATAAGATCTGCATCATTCTAAAAATGGTTAGCTGACAAGCTATAAAAAATGTAGAAGAAAATCTCTGAACAAAAAATTGAACAAAGGTCAATAACTTTTGGAATAATTGTTGTATCAAAATTCTTTTAAGGGAGACACAACCTCATATCATGATTATAATGTATACCAAGTTTCAATGAGATCGGTAGAAAAATGTAGGAGGAGGAAGTTTATGCCAGACGGACAGACAACCCCATACCATAATACTTCCCATCACATTTGACGGGCGAATACAAATTGTTGAATCAAAATTCTTTTCAAGGAAAAACAACAACATATCATGATTAATCTGTCAAATAATCAAATACTGAAATAAACAAAGGGCAATTACTTTTGGAAAAATTGTTGAATCAAAATTCTTTTAAGGGAGACACAACTTCATATCATGATTACCTGGTATGATGTATACCAAGTTTCAAAGAGATCAGTCGAAAAATGTAGGAGGAGATAGCCGGACAAACAAAAGTTTACGCCGGACGGACGAACAACCCCCATACCATAATACTTCTGTCAAATTTGACGGGCGTATAATAAAAACCACTAGTCAAATGGTGTTGAGTGGCGCTTGCATGGAGATTGTGTAGAGATATCCAGATTCGCTTACATAATCAGGGATGAATCTAGGTTTTAGGGGAAATTACCCTTTTACGGATTTGGGGAAATTTCAATTTTGAAACAAGGCTCTACTGTCACGAAGGTAAAAGATAAATGTTTTGTCCGACATACATGTTTGCAGTATATTTCAATTTTTAAACAGTTTTAAGCTTATTGTAGAACTTTTGTTTAAATTATGTGGAGAAAATGTCTATATGCAGTATTCTGCATTTTAATTGTTGAACTTTAAAGAAAACATATGCAGGGGAAATATTTTGAAGTAAAAACGGCTATTTTCTTCTTGAAATGGGGGAATTTTGAAGCACACAGGGGAATTTCAAAGAACAGGGAAAATTTCTTCTGATGGGGGAAACTACCCACAAATGGTAGTGAATAAAGTCTAGATTGATCCCCGCCATTGAAATAGTATGGGCGTCAAGATGGGCTTGCTTACATGTGGCAATGCAAGGACTAGGTATAAAGGCGTCTTGAGGCACTTACATGTAGTTAAAGGGTTAAAAGCCTCTTCAACTTTTTTTGCTTTACAGGCCTATATACACACACACTCACAAACAAACTCAAAATGATAATATTTTTTTCTTACAGCTCGTCCTACAACTGGAACAAACCACTGGGTCTTCATCAATCTGTGTGTTTGGAGGATTCCTTGTTTGTTGATTTCTCGGTCAACTATGTCGGTCCCAATGACAGATTCACTCACTGGATTAGGATATTTCCTCCATACAGCTTGTACTACCGTATCCCAGGGATGTCTGTTCATGTAGAAAATGTACAATATATAGTATTTGATCCTTTTGGTTGGGTGTATAAAAAGTATCCAGGGGGTGGGGAGTTGAAGAGAGGTTTGGTAATGACTATAACATAACTGTAAATGTTTCTACTCGACTCCCCAAACCTAATCGTGTTCAGTAATTGAAAATTATTTTGGCATAATTTCCTGGCCCTGGGGTGGGGATTGGTGGGGTAGGGGTGGATAGACATGCAACTGTAACCTTCTGATCAACTTCTGATTAATTTTTTTTTTTTTTCATAGGGGGGTACTTTTTTTTTTGGGGGGGGGTACTTTTTGTTTAACAAGAATTCCACGGAAGTGGATGTGTCGCCTGCGCAGGAAGCTGGGAGATTACGAACAAATAGATACACTTTTCATTTCAGGAAATAATGTTAAAAGTAAGCAATAATCATAGATTATGTTTTTGGATAGCATCATTTTGTTATATAATCTGTTATTCTGGAAAGAATACTCTAAATTTTAAGGAACTTGCTATGGATACTCATTGTCTCAATTCCAAGTTTAATTTGTATGATTTGTCGGATGGTTTCCCATAAATAAATGAATAAACTTGTGGATTATGATGTTAAACAGCTAGTGTTGTCAATAACATTTGGAGTAAGACGGCATTTCAGAAGTATACACGGTGGGTCAAGTGGTAGATCGAAGCCGTCCAGTATACAGTTTTAGTGAAGTTTCTATTTATAGTAACAGTGACCTTGACCTTTGACCTTCGGACCAGAAAAGCAATCCCAAGCAAGCACTTTTGGTAAGGAAGCACTGCATGAAGTTTGAGTTTGATTGACCAAAGGAAACTCAAGTTATCGCACAAAAACAGATTTTCTATTTATAGTAATAGTGACCTTGACCTTTGACCTTCGGACCAGAAAAGCAATCCCAAGCAAGCAGATTTGGTAAGGAAGATCTGCATGAAGTTTGAGTTTGATCGGATATTATTTAAGCAGGAGGTATATTTTATGCATGATGACATCGGATTAACCTTTTCTATGGACAGACAGCTGAAAGACAAGCTGATTCCAGTATATATACAACCCACCCCCTAACTTCGTTGTGGGGTGTATAATTACTCTGAACTCCTTAGTTTAGGTCCAAATATAGCTGTAGCAAATGCTCACGTCCCTGTACAACAATTGCTTAGTACCGTTAGATGGATAATTTTTCTTTTAAAATCTCCTATGTACATGTAAAATGTATGTATTACTCCGATTTACTACATATACAATGTTTGAGAGATATTGCCTGTGAAGTCTATAAAATCTCTCCACGCTTTATCTAAGATACGATTGAAATAAAGGTAACTATAATTATAACTGCAGACATGAGAATACAGCTGTATTACCTCGGGTCAACACTACAAGGTATGGGCTCAAATCTTTCTCCTACGAGGCCGCCTGGGTATGGAACAGTCTCCCCGGCCAATCATCTCAGAAAAGTAGATAAGTACAATGAATTTAGGAGAAAGGTCCAGACCTGGGATGGCCCCATTTGCTCTTGTAATGTCTGCTGCAGTGTGTATTACAAGTACAGTGTAACTGTTTTTTATGTGTATGTGCTTTGCTTCAATGCTATATGCTAAAAACTACTGTCATGCTATATAGTTTTGTATGCATGTAGTTTCCATGTAGTGTTGACGTCAATGTAAGCTGATCCAGCTTCTAGGGACGCCTCTATATACTGTTCTCTAATCATGTTCGGTTGTGAGTAACAGATTTAAAACTATTTAGGGAGGGGGCTTCTACAACTATATTTGGTAAAGAGTTCCACACGTCCACGACCCTATTACAGCTCAAAAGATCTATATCAGATATGTCAATAGAGCTATTATAGGTCTTTACAGCTATATAGCTCAATCGGCACTCGGCAGAGTGTACTGGACCTGTATATATTCTAGCCGAGTTGTAAAAGTATGCGAGTTACTTCCCCTGACACCAGCAATAGCTTCTACATTTGCAATCGAATTGAATATTTGCCTGTAGTTAGGTAATGACATTTAGTATGTTAATGAGAAGAAATAATGTGCAAAAAAGCCGCTTAACGATTTGCTTGGCGTGCGATAACCTCGCTGGACACTCATATAGGTGACCGCATATCAAGCAGTATACTCCTATACTATCACTCGTCTCTGATCAAGGGCATCGGGAAATTGGCACGACTCGATATGGACCGTGGTCTAAATAACACGATATAAACTTATAAATAGCTATCTAAGCAAACCATTTTAAGTAAAAGCAAATGGGTAACGTCGATGATGAAAGATATGCTACAACAATTAATCCATCTTCACGGAAATATTGGCGAAATGACCTATAAGCTTACACGGGCTTATAACACTGGGTTCGGCCAATGATTTGTCGTTGAAAGTGACAGAAGTACACTCTTTAGTCAATCAATTTGTCTGTTTTCATCGTTGAATAAATAAAATACTCACTGAAATATGTGGCACGCTGTTGTCTCTTTCATCCTGGCGATAAAAATATCAGTGTAAGAAAAGCTTACGCAACGAAACGGGTCGTTTTACAGGGAATATTCACGTGTTCGGATATCGGATGCCAAATTACGTACCGAATGCGGTGATACCGCAAACAATTTAGTGAAAGAAGGACGAGTTATTGAGTCGCCCAATGAAGAAAATTAAACGAAAAATAACAACATTCTCGTTCATTTGATTTAATTTGGGTTACATTATTACTTCATTAATAAGGCTTGATATTTCCAAAAGAAAATTACGCGTAGTAATATCTAATTTACAATTACTATGAGTATATTTCATTGGCTATTTCTTATAAATAGATCGCACTATGTCCAATAGAAAATGCCCTACTATACCAAATAGGCTAAACGGCAATAGCAACCGACAGCAATATGGCGTTCTCAAACAACCCCGTTTTGTTTTAGGTGTTGATTTTGTTTGATATCACTTACTGAAAAGGTATGTATAACACGTGTGATCTGTTTGGTTTGAAGATACACTTTTGGATACTATCACGAATATATTGTTATGAATAGATTCTTTCGTTAACTCCAAGATTCATGGTCTACAAGATTACTTGACGAAGAAACCCTTTCGATTTCAGTGGTGTATCGTAGACCTATATGACTTTGGTAAATATAATTCTTGAATACGGATACAGGTACATGTATTGACAATGTTTGTGTAGACGGATGTTTTTCTACTAGTTTAAGCATGTCGACAAATTGTTAATGTATCTGAAGAACGCGTTTTCTTAGGGACGCGATTACGATAGCGAGCACCTGCTACTTCTTCTTTTCATCTTGATAATAATATACAAGTCTTCAAAAAAATGAAGTTTAACTGCCATACGCTGGTTAAAAGTGTTTGGAACAGATTTTTGTTTGTTTCTTTTGTTTCTTAATGTCATGGTTAAAAATATGTACACAGGTTATAGGCTTTACATGTTAATGAAGCAAAATGTTGAGAAGTGCATGTAAACACATCGAAATAGGATTCAAGGAAAAACTGTCGGAATACACTCTACAACAGTACAACATAATGTATCATATCAGCAAAGTTAGTAGCAAAAAAGACCTAGGTGTTCACATTGATGATCATTTGAACTTCTCAGTCCATGTTCAGAAAACAGCAAACAAGGCCAATCAAATAGTCGGAATAATCTTTAGAAGCTTCACATATATATATATGAGTAACAACATCTTTACCAGACTATTCAAATCTCTTGTAAGGCCACATTTGGAGTAGGCCTCTGTAATCTTTATAGATGTCTGTATCTGTAAGATTACAGATTTTGACGTCAAGAACAGGTGGTTATGGAGGAATGAACCAGTTTTCAGATGTGGCAGCAACTAGTTCAATAGTTGATCAAAATTTTGGAGACAAGAACTTATCTGAAATATGTCCTATGAATCTGAAGAGTTTGCCAATGTAGGGATATTGCAGCATATACTTGGGAGAAAAATTGGACGATAATTGATGGGGTCATGTTTGTAGCCTTTATAGTAGACAGTATATATATATATAGACTCATCATGATCATCAGCCCATAACTTAAATCCTTATGGAGGGTTGTGCCCAACCTAGCTGTAATAGAATGCTTATTTTGTGTACATGGAGTTGAAATGGAATTGCAGAAGGTATGTGATGAGTCATTTTGCATATTCAGTATTTAAGAAAATATTCTATCTGTTAATTGAATTACCTCTGATAGATAATTTTCAGTTTACAATAATGGAAGGTAAGTAAACTTCTCACAATAATACAAAAGGTTAATAAGCCAGAAAAATAATCTTCTGTCAGCTGACAATAACAGATTACACTAGTAATTTAACATTCAATGCTTTTCAAGTTGTCTTCTGTCCATAAAAAATATAAATTGGACTAAAAAGTATAACTATCTTGAATGACTAAGTATTGATAAGGGGGTACTAAGTATTGATAAAGGGGGCAATAAGTATTGATAAGGGGGTACTAAGTATTGATAACGGGGTACTAAGTATTGATAAGGGGGTACTAAGTATTGATAAGGGGGTACTAAGTATTGATAAAGGGGGCAATAAGTATTGATAAGGGGGTACTAAGTATTGATAACGGGGTACTAAGTATTGATAAGGGGGTACTAAGTATTGATAAGGGGGTACTAAGTATTGATAAAGGGGGCAATAAGTATTGATAAGGGGGTACTAAGTATTGATAACGGGGTACTAAGTATTGATAAGGGGGTACTAAGTATTGATAAGGGGGTACTAAGTATTGATAAAGGGGGACTAAGTATTGATAAGGGGGTACTAAGTATTGATAAAGGGGGCACTAAGTATTGATAAGGGGGTACTAAGTATTGATAACGGGGTCACTAAGTATTGATAAGGGGGTACTAAGTATTGATAAGGGGGTACTAAGTATTGATAAGGGGGTACTAAGTATTGATAAGGGGGTACTAAGTATTGATAAGGGGGTACTAAGTATTGATAAGGGGGTACTAAGTATTGATAAGGGGGTACTAAGTATTGATAAGGGGGTACTAAGTATTGATAAGGGGGTACTAAGTATTGATAAGGGGGTACTAAGTATTGATAAGGGGGTACTAAGTATTGATAAGGGGGTACTAAGTATTGATAAGGGGGTACTAAGTATTGATAAGGGGGTACTATTAGTATTGATAAGGGGGTACTAAGTATTGATAAAGGGGTACTAAGTATTGATAAGCGGGTACTAAGTATTGATAAGGGGGCACTAAGTATTGATAAGGGGGTACTAAGTATTGATAAAGGGGGTACTAAGTATTGATAAAGGGGGTACTAAGTATTGATAACGGGGTACTAAGTATTGATAAAGGGGGTACTAAGTATTGATAAGGGGGTACTAAGTATTGATAAAGGGGTACTAAGTATTGATAAGGGAGTACTAAGTATTGATAAGGGGGTTCTAAGTATTGATAAGGGGGTACTAAGTATTGATAAAGGGGTACTAAGTATTGATAAGGGGGTACTAAGTATTAATAAAGGGGCTACTAAGTATTGATAAGGGAGTACTAAGTATTGATAAGGGGGTACTAAGTATTGATAAGGGGGTAATAAGTATCGATAAGGGGGTACTAAGTATTGATAAGATGATGGAAACTGGTTCAGTATTCCATGTTCATTATCTAACTTCTAGATCGATCAATAATCATTAATCAAATGAAATATTCTCCAAAGTGATTGTGATAATTAAAAGAGTTAGTATTGATAAGGGGGCACTAAGTATTGATAAGGGGGTACTAAGTATCGTTTGTGTATGACTAAGTATTGATAAGATGCTGGAAACTGGTTCAGTATTCCATGTTCATTATCTAACTTCTAGATCGATCAATAATCATTAATCAAATGAAATATTCTCCAAAGTGATTGTGATAATTAAAAGAGTTAAATCAATAAAAATATCTTAAGATAGTTGATACTAATAACACTGGGTATATTACGGTATGTGTTCTAATTAGAACACCACTTGTAATAAAGTTTCAGTAATAGCTAGAGACTAGATTGTGATACAGCATCATGTGATAGACTAGATTGTGATACATCATCATGTGATAGACTAGATTGTGATACAGCATCAGGTGATAGACTAGATTGTGATACAGCATCAGGTGATAGTGATATAGACTAGATTGTGATACAGCATCAGGTGATAGACTTGATGTTATGTTCAGTAAGACCAGTTACCCTTAAACAATTAAGTGCATGCTAGATCAACTTAAATTCTGACTTAAAACATTAGACAAAAAAAGTTAAAAAAAAATCAAAAAATAGTTTCTATTGAACAGGCATGCTATAATATTCCTTGGCCTTTTTATAATGTTTTATCATTTCAGTTAACTGCTGTACTAATTCTAGTGTACTACCAAAATTACTATTTGCTCCTTACTAGAAACAAAATACATTAAAAAAAACCTGTATTACATTTAAAAGTGTTTCCCACCAGGGGGTAATGCTACTTTATAGACTTGAGCAAGTCTATAGCTATCATGTGATAAATTTATGGTCAAAAGAGTGTAGACTTGCTGCAGTCAATATGGTTTGATAGCCAGTCTTAATGTGTACAACCTTACCAACAAACACCAGTTTATAATCACTTCACAGACAAGTGTGAAAATCTCCTGGTCTTCTAAACGGTTGATCAGGAGTTAACAAGGCAATTGACCTACTGAAATGAGTGCACCTGCAATGATGCTAGCTCATGCTCAGCTGTGTATTATCACTGTTCAAGAAGGAAAAATGGGGTTTTAGACACTGTTTACTCTATGTTCAATTGCTGGATCTTTGATGATTTGAACAATTTATTCATGATTAAAAATGTTCATGTATGCATTAAAATCTTTACTGCTTATTTGATCAGTTCAAAAGACCCTTTCTCTGCATTGTTTCAGACCTCTACCTGACCATCATGCCCTTAGGGCCGTTTGGAGAGGTGGTTGGTACCACTGGGACCCTGGAGGCCCTAGGTCCAGAGGCTGCCAACTACCGGAGCAAAGTTATCGCTCCAAGGAATCCCAAACTCCTGAAGCCAGGCGATGAGGAAGGACATAAGGTAATATTAATTGAGCTTCTTTGCTACAAAATGTACACATAAAAACAGTGTTGATAGGACACTGTTGGGAAACCGTTAGATTTGTCTACGGAGCTGTAATGAACCCCCAATTACCCATAGATAATGTATGATGCCTCTGTCGTATTGGTAGTAGCTGATAAGCCTAGTCACCTATTGGAAGTGATGTTAAAAATCACTAAAGACAATTCAAAATGCCAAAGAGCCAGAAGGTCATAATTGGCCTCACGTTCAAATATAGTGAACTTATTTGAAAAAAGATAGTAGACATGTCTTTTTGACTGGATTGATTGTATTGTAGGCCTATACATAGAAAGATAGGTTCTAAAAAGGTTTTATTGGTTAGAGGTGAAAGGTCAATTTAAGACACCAGAATCACATAGCATATATATATATCAATTCTATGGTATCAGCACACCAGCTAGCTTATTTTTTCTATTTTGTAAATACATTTCCTTTTTTCACAGATGACTCCTAGTAAGTTTCTGTTTGACATGCAAATGGATACAGAGCAGAAACTTGCCAATACACACTACATGAAGGTGCCAAGGAAAATAGAGTTGTTGGATATGGCAGATACCAGCTTACAAAGGGTGAGTGTGTCAGTGTGCTGATCAGTACACACGTTTTATGTAAGTATTTAGACAAGACATAAACAAATTAACTGTTCTAAATTCAAAATAAAGTTGTCATAAATTTTGTGTGATAAATAGCTGAATACAATGCCAAAATTTCATTAGGAAAAGGTGTCAGTATGTATAACAAGGTTTTACTGTGGGTGTCAATATAACAAGGTTTTACTGTGGTACAGTCTATGTATATAGTACACAACTATAGGCCATTTATTCAATAATATCTTTTATATCACTAACAAAACACTGTTTTCCCCTGTAATTTGTACTAGGATGTCCTGTATCCCTTTTGAAACTTAAAAAATTCTGTATCAATTCATTGCTATAATGCTTAAAGCTGACAGTTCAAGTTGAAAAGATTTCAATATTTTTTTTCTGGTTTTGAGATTTTCCCCTGTGACTAAGGTATCTCTTCTGGCTGTCCTATCTAAGGAAGCACCAATATTTTAGAATACACTTGCCTAGTAATGAGTAGAGGTCTCCCTGGATATTAAAAGCACATTACGCATCAAACTGGTTTAATTTAAAAGAAGGAAACTATGTGTGTCTCTGTGTTGATTACACTTGTCTGATGATAAAGGGAGGTAACCTTCTTGTGTATGTTGATAACACTTCTCTGATGATAAAGGGAGGTAACCTATTTGTGTATGTTGATATCTCTTGTCTGATGATAAAGGGAGGTAAGCTACTTGTGTATGTTGTTAACACTTGTCTGATGATAAAGGGAGGTTACCTTCTAGTGTATGTTGATAACACTTCTCTCATGATAAAGGGAGGTAACCTACTTGTGTATGTTGATAACACTTGTCTGATGATAAAGGGAGGTAACCTTCTAGTGTATGTTGATAACACTTCTCTGATGATAAAGGGAGGTAACCTACTTGTGTATGTTGATAACACTTGTCTGATGATAAAGGGAGGTAACCTACTTGTGTATGTTGATAACACTTGTTTGATGAAAGAAGGCTACCGATTATGTCTGTGTTGATAATCATATGAAATTGGTCTATAAAATGAGATTTTCATTTGCAGGATGAGGAATTAACAAAAAAGATCAGGGTAATCCTTGGAAAGTTGTCTAAAACACAATCTTGTAAAGCCTGATCACTCATTTACATTTGCTACGTCATGTGAGATATTAAATGCTTCTCTTTGGTGTTCACATAAATCATGGTTACATTGGTGGTGATGATGTTAAAACTGTAGTAGCTGTGACAAAATTGGAATTAAATGTGACATTGTCAAGGCTAATTCCACACTTGTCAGGCCATTAGACAGACCCATTCCTGTTCTATGTAGTGCCATTGGACAGTTATTAAAATTTCCAGTCAGAAATATACAATTACATACCAAATCATTCGCGAAAAACAGGTTGTTAAAACTTTATGGAAATTCTGGCTCATTTATAGTAATAATGGTGTTTGAGGCGTTCTAGCAATTACCACATAGTGTGATAAACATGAACGTGACCTTGACTCATGCATAGATGGTTGACTATCTAGTATCTTTCTATATGACCGGTGTCAGCGTTTACACACACATTTGTGTAAGTGAGATCAACCATAATGATATTTTTTGGCCATGTTAACACTGAACAGATTAAAATACTGACATTTTATTTTGGGCCTGTAAATGTTATTTTTGGCTTTTTCAATCGCCACATTCCTAACTCACCTGCCACCAGTGACTGGTAATTGTGTTTTGGTCAGCGTCAGTGACCTGACGACAGCTGTGTCGAGCACTGCACTCCAGGTATATTTAGACACACTTACTATAACCAATATGTTAGGTACCATTATGATAATCATGCAATTGAAATAACACATTGGCTATTTTCTTCATTTACTCTTTTAACACTTGTAATTCTACAATTTATTTAATTTAATTCCCATAATTCTGTTTCAAAACATTCCTAACTCACCTGCCATCAGTGACTGGTAATTGTGGAATCAGCCTTGGGTGTCCTTATCAAACTGAATAAAGGTCTGCATGGTGTAGCAAAAAGTGATTAAGTTTTTATCAGATTGCTGTACACTTGTAAATGTACTTTATATTTGAATATTGTAAACGTGTATGCACTGACCTGATTGTCATTCTTATGGTTATGATAAATAGCAATGTACTAGGATCATCAGTAGAAAGTACTGCATCCAAATCAATCATGTTCATGAAATATATGTCAACTGCAATGACTCATTACAATGATCTGTAGAATAGGCTCAACCTCTCATTACAATGATCTGTAAAATAGGCTCAACCTCTCATTACAATGATCTGTAGAATAGGCTCAACCTCTCATTACAATGATCTGTAGAATAGGCTCAACCTCTCATTACAATGATCTGTAGAATAGGCTCAACCTCTCATTACAATGATCTGTAGAATAGGCTCAACCTCTCATTACAATGATCTGTAGAATAGGCTCAACCTCTCATTACAATGATCTGTAGAATAGGCTCAACCTCTCATTACAATGATCTGTAGAATAGGCTCAACCTCTCATTACAATGATCTGTAGAATAGGCTCAACCTCTCATTACAATGATCTGTAGAATAGGCTCAACCTCTCATTACAATGATCTGTAGAATAGGCTTGATCTCTCATTACAATGATCTGTAGAATAGGCTCAACCTCTCATTACAATGATCTGTAAAATAGGCTCAACCTCTCATTACAATGATCTGTAGAATAGGCTTGATCTCTCATTACAATGATCTGTAGAATAGGATCAACCTCTCATTACAGTAATCCATAGAATAGGATCAACCTCTCATTACAATGATCTGTAGAATAGGCTCAACCTCTCATTACAATGATCTGTAGAATAGGCTCAACCTCTCATTACAATGTTCTGTAAAATAGGATCAACCTCTCACTGCAATGATCTGTAGAATAGGCTTGATCTCTCATTACAATGATCTATAGAATAGGATCAACAACTCATTACAATGATCTATAGAATAGGCTCGACCTCTCATTACAATGGTCTATAGAATAGGCTCGACCTCTCATTGCAATGATCTATAGAATAGCCTAAACAACTCATTACAATGATCTGTAGAATAGGCTCGACCTCTCACTACAATGATCTGTAGAATAGGCTCAACCTCTTACTACAGTAATCCATAGAATAGGCTCAACCTCTCACTACAATGGTCTATAGGATAGGCTCAACCTCTCATTACAATGATCTGTAGAATAGGCTCGACCTCTCATTGCAGTAATCCCATAGAATTGGCTTAACAGCTCATTACAATGATCTGTAGAATAAGCTCAACCTCTCACTACAGTAATCTATAGAATAGGCTCAACCTCTCATTACAATGATCTATAGAATAGGGACGACCTCCCATTACAATGATCTATAGAATAGGCTCAACCTCTCTTTACAATGATCTGTAGAATAGGCTCAACCTTTCACTACAATGATCTATAGAATAGGCTCGACCTCTCACTACAATGATCTATAGAATAGGCTCAACTTCTCATTACAATGATTTATAGAATAGGCTCAACCTCTCATTTCAATGATCTATATATAGAATAGGCTCAACCTCTCATTACAGTAATCTATAGAATAGGCTCAACCTCTCATCACAATGATCTATAGAATAGGCTCAACCTCTCATTACAATGATCTATATATAGAATAGGCTCAACCTCTCATTACAATGATCTATAGAATTGGCTCAACCTCTCATTACAACAATTTATAGAATTGGCTCAACCTCTCATTACAACGATTTATAAGATAGGCCTGATGACTTATTCCAATGAATGACACATATTTAACTGACTTAGATGTAGAAATGTATGATCTTCCAAATTTGTGATCTCACTGTATAGCATGTTTGTATTGTTAATTACCCAGCATGCATCATATATCACCATAGTTTACCAGTGACAAACCTAGGGGGACCTGTGCATAAAAACATGTCAAAAGTAGGGGGTAGGCTTATTGCTGGATATATAAGCTTGTGTTTTACCGGTCATTGGCCCAATTCATGGTTTGTGATTTTGGTTCCGTATATATCACAGTTTACCAAATTGGAACTGGTAGTAGATTGTTTTATAAATACAATATGTTTACATGGTACGTAAATGTTACGTTGAATAGTGCAAACAGAATATAAATTGATAAAATTGATAGATATATTGGAACGTACACTTTATGGTGGGTCGTTGAAACTATGAAGCACTAATAAAAAAATCAGTGTTGTGGTTACCTTTTATCTAATTGCATGAATGGGGATGGTGGGCTTAATACAAAAACATACAGTATAAGGCATGTATGTATAGATCTAGATTGGGTTTTTTGGGGGTCAATTTTAAGGATGAAATTCATAAAAGTGAGCACTTAAAAAAGTGTTTTACCCTTTCTTCAAATTTGTCCAAATTAAATAGAAAAAATGTTGTTTTTTTAATTTCTACTTGTATTTGATAATACCATGATATTTTAAAATAAAAGTATTTTTCATCTGGTATTTTCTTTTTTTATAGTCATGAGATGGTACATACAGGCTATATATATACTAAAAAAAATACCCACAATTCTGAAAATTCCTAATTTGGTTAGCTGTAACATTTTTTTTATTAATTACAATGCCACATATGCCTTTTTTCCAAAACGATGGTAAAATGCCCTTATATCTGATCACTAAGAAACTGCTCATGACAAAGTGCTTGTTTGTAAACATATGATATTTTAAAGGGATTTCAGTAGACTCTTCACAGTATGTTTCTAATTGATTACCAAGAATTAAATTTGACTCTTTGGGTTTGAAAGGGAAAAGGCAATGAGACTTTGAATAATCAGAATTGTTAAATGTCAAGGGTCAGTAGAAAGTTCTGTTTAAATATGTACACAATGTACTATATTTGTCACGTTTGTTCCTGTGAAATATCAAGTTCTATCAACTTGATAAAAATGATATTGTTCACACAGACCAGTCAGAACAGTGCTTTCTATTTACTTCATTCATAGCTGCAGATTTTCTGTTGAGATACAGATGACTATAGTATAAGAATGATTGGTTGTTTTGGTCAAATTATAAAAGTAAAATTGTGTGAAGTAGCCTATCTCACTGCTAGTAGCCTATTCAAAATGGTGTACAGCCTTGTTGTCAAGCAAGACATCATAGGAATATGGCACCAAAGATTATTCCATTATATTCCCAGCTGTTTTGGAGCATCCTTGGGCAATGCATGATGCCTTTGCTTTGTATGAATGGATGATTTGGTCACACGAAGAGCTACCAAGTTTATTCAGGTGTATGGCCTTCAACTATGTTCAAGGTCACAGGGGTCAAATGAATGAAAAATGTTGAAACAACTTCTTTGAATAACCAAAATGTCTAGGGTGATGAAATTTAGCATTAATATGCCCAGATGCAGAGCTATTGAATTTGTTCAAGTGACTGACCTTCAACCATATTCAACATCACACATTCAAATGCTTTAAAAAACTTAAATAACTACTTAGGAATCAACAAAGGACCCAAAGTGAGGATGTTTGGATGTAAGCATGTTTGTTCAAATGTATGACCTTGGCCAACATTCAAAGTCACAGGGTCAGATGTGTATAAACCTTTGAACGACCTCTTAATAATTATAATAAATGCACAGTCATGATCATTCAGGCCAGTTTGATTGAAAGGTTATCAGGTTTGTTCAAAATAATGACCTTCACTCATATTCAAGGTGACAGGGGTCAAATGTATGATAATGTTTAAATGACTTCTGAATACTCAAAAGTCAACGGTAATGATAATGAGTCGGTAGATTTATTCAGCCTATTTGATATATTTGACCTTGGTCCACTTTTCAGGTTACGAGTGAGATAGTTTTGTGCCTGACATTAACAATCGGTTATTCGAGTGAATAAATCTTTACTATTGAATGCTTTGTTTTCAGTTTTCTCAAATCAACATTGATGAACCAATGTTCCAGCCCTACCCATCTGAGATATTCTTCCAGAACTTTAAGCCGTTTGAAGTATATGAGGTGCCACTGATTTTGAGAAATAATGACAAGGTAAGTTTCCTAAATTTTCAGTTGAAAAATCCACAACGGCCAGGTCATAGGTTCAGTGGAATCTGGATACAAGTAATGGTTAATTGGTTGATACTAATTTTTAGACATTATATATTTGATTTAATTAGCCAATGACTAAATAGCCAAATGTTTCAGCCATTTACCAGTACTGTTTCTTCATGTTTGGGTAATAATATTAATTAAAGTAAAGTAAGACATTTTTTTAGTCTCAAAAAATAGGTAATAATTTGGCAACTCTTAAATTAAAACGTTTTTTTTGTAATAAAGTCAAACTTTGATGTTTGAAACTTTGTGAAACAGTCAGAAATATTTGAAACAATGAGATGTTGACCACGAATGTTAAATTTTGGATATCTTTTAGATCCTGTATAACACCAAAACTAATGGTTAATTAGTTACGAAATACAAGGCAAGAAATATAATATGAAATCTAAAATATCAGATTTCATGTAATTAGAAAAATGTGTTTGTGTCTATTTTATTGTCCGTGTTTTTATATTAATCAGACCTTGATTTAAATTAGAAACAGTGAGAAATTTGACTCGCAAAGTTTGATTCAAAATTGGAATATCAGTAGTGTTATAGCAAAACAAACCAGACTTTGTTGTCAGTTAATTTGACGTATCAATATATGGAAGTTTGACTAAGTTTGAAATAAGGCAGGATTGTGATCCAGTATAGGAAAGTGAGATTGATAATGTTACAGGTGCCACGCCTAGTGAAAGTTACCCAGGCTGATTCGCCCTACTTCAGTGTAATCAGCCCTCACGATGTCGGCAACAAAGTGGGACCAGGACTCCCAACTACCTTCAAAATACAATTCACACCAGATGAGAAAAAGGTATATATTCAGTGTCTCACTACAGTCTATAGCTGGTATGAAATAATTGGCTCCACAACCAATCCTACACCTTAGTTTCCGCTTAATAGCTTGAGTAATTTTGAATGGATTAATTTCAAACTTGGTAGGAAGGTTCATTGCCGTGAAAGCTCGGGACAAGTTTGATAATCAAAATTATTCGCCGGATATTTACGGAGTTATGGCCCTTTGTAGAATTGCTGAAACAGTTTACGCTCAATAACTTGTCAATGAGTAATTTTGAATGGATTCATTTTAAACTTCATAGGATGGTTCATTGACTTGAAAGCTCGGACAAGTTTGATAGCCAAAATATTGGCTGGTTATTTACAGAGTTATGGCCCTTTGTAGAATTGCTGAAACAGTTGAAGGGAGACATATTGTATTAGTACTGATTCTTCTTCTTTTTTTCTTCTTCTGGTTCTTCTAATCAAACTTGTCAGGGCCAAAACTTTTAAACCGTTAAAGATATCTTGATGAAATTTTAGGTATGCATGCATCACCCACAGGAGGTGTGCAGTGTACTGGAATTAGGTCACTGTGACTTTCACCTCAAGGTCAAAGGTCAAATAAGTGCACATTTTCAGTAAATTCTTGTCCGTCCCGTAAATTTCAAACCGTTAAAGATGTCTTGCTTAAGCTTGAACTATATCTGCATCACCAACAGAAGGTGTGCAGTGCAATAGAATTAGGTCTCATGCTTTACTATAAACAGAGTTATGGCCCTTTGTTTAATTTCAATGCAGAAGTTTGTCTGGAGCATAAGTTCCATGTTATTTCACCTACGTTGACCATACTTATCATATTTATGTATATTGGAAAGGCGGAATCTCTCGCACTAAAATCAGGTTTTGTGCCCCACTATATACAGAGTTTGTTTATTTTTAATACCAAAGTTTGTCCATGGCATTACTTCTAAACCATTAATGATATCTTAATCAAACTTGAAGTATACCTGCATCACTCACAGAAGGTGTGCAGTGCACTGGAATAAAGTCTCGAGTGTCACTATATACAGAGTTATGGCCCTTTGTGTAATTTTAATACCGAAGTTTGTCCACAGCATAACTTTCATGTTATTTCACCTATGTTGACCAAACTTGCTAAAGTTTTAATGTATCTTGGAAAGTAGGAGAGTCGCATCCTAAATTCGGGTCTCGTGCCCCAATATATAAAGCGATATGGCCCTTTGTTAATTTTGTATACCAGAGTTTTTCTTTTGGCTAATAAGGGGAGACATATGTTTTTGTTCACAAAAACAAAATACTAGGTTTGAATGGATTCATTTCAAACTTCATAGGAAGGTTCATTTCTATCAAAGCTTGCACAAGTTCGATAACCATTATCTGCCTGTATTAAGGGAGCTATGGCCCTTTATAGAATTGACATGAACAGTTTCCGCTCAATATTGTAGGTAAAATAAATCTTCCTCTGAAGCTGCGCATTCAGCCATACAAAATTAATCGCCTTATAGAGCACTACTGAACAAACAGCCATAAGTTCTTGATGATCTTGGTTATTAAACTTGTCCAACCTTAGAAACCAAGCTTATCTCTCCAACATTTATGCACTTATGGCCCTTTGTGGCAAACTGCTCATTCGACATCTGCCGGCGTATCATGTACCGCTCGCGGAACTCTTGTTATATATGTGTAACATTCTCCACCAACAGGACTACAACCATGAGCTGGTGTGTATCACGGAACGCGAGAAGTTTATTGTTCCTGTCAAGGCCATTGGGTCACGAGCTATACTGGACTTTCCTGATAACATCATCTTTCCAGTGGGACCAGTCAAGCATACAAGCAGCAGGACACTTCTCATCCGAAACATTGGCAATAAGGAGGCCAAGTTTACACTCTCTGTGGAAAAGTAAGTACAGTAAATCCCTACTAGCTGGAACTCGTGGGGTCCAGATTAATAGTTCGCGGAATACATTGTATTGGACAAATCAATGGTTCGACTGACAGTCATGTTTTAGGTTTAACCGACATCGTCATTTTTTTGTGGTATGACAGACAGTACGAGCACTGCAAATATTGCGGATAGTAGATGATAGATATAAAAAAGGAAGTTTAATAAAGATTACAACATTAAAAATGATATAAAGTTGCTGAACAATGAAAACATATAGCCATCAGTATTAAGAAACGAAATAAAATTTAAAAAAATGTATGTGTAACGTACTTTTCGTTTTGACATAGTCAACCATACTTTAATCGGCTATGTTAATTTTACAATCTAAACCATGGTTAGTCATGGATGGTTTGCTTTTATGCCTTTGTTGCACCCCTTTCATCATTCTGCTGGAGATCAAATTAAAAATCTTCAGATTAAAAACTAAGTGATGTTATAACCGAGGATGACAAGACTTTTATTTTGGATTGCAGTCCCTTTACCGTGAGCCCAGAGATAGGCACACTGCCTGTGCAGGACAGCATGCAGGTGACAGTGGAGTTCAACCCCAAGAAGACCGGTGATCACATGAAAGATCTCAGCCTACATTATCATACAGGTGACTCATGCTTGTTGACATTTCCAAAATCATTATATATTAAGTCATTTTTTTTCCAATAAAATATCTGAAGTTTGGTAGTTTAATAGTTGTTAAATATCCTAATTCATATTTTAAATGAAATGATCTCATGATCAGATCTCTGATAAGTAAAATGATCTCCTGATCAGATCTCTGAAAGGTACAATGGTTTCGTGATCAGATCTCTGATAGGTAAAATAGTCTCGTGATCAGATCTCTGATAGGTAAAATGGTCTCGTGATCAGATCTCTGATAGGTACAATGGTCTTGTGATTAGATTTCTGATAGGTAAAATGATCTCGTGATCAGATCTCTGATAGCTAAAATGGTCTTGTAATCAGATCTCTGATAGGTAAAATGATCTCGTGATCAGATCTCTGATAGGTGAAATGGTCTCCTGATCAGATCTCTGATAGGTAAAATGGTCTCCTGATCAGATCTCTGATAGGTAAAATGGTCTCGTGATCAGATCTCTGATAGGTGAAATGGTCTCATGATTAAATCTATGATTGGTGAAATATTTCATGTAACTATTTTCCATCTTTTCTATCTTTTGACTCACAGGGTTGATTTACACTACAGTTTTTACAAAATTTAAAGCTTGGTTTTGGATATGAACCGAACTACATTTGGATTGTGTAATTTGGTACCTAGTGCTCAGACACTGGGCCACATGCATTCTTTTTATACGTGAAAATATCAGATGTCACGACATGTTGTAGTTTTCATCTTATAATGGTTACATGTGATCTCAACACTAGATTCAGAATACTTTTACGACATCACTCCATAAAGTGGCAACATACACACACATGCTAGACTTAGTATTATAGTATCATTTTGTATGTACATTCGTCCATGCTGACTGGTTTCTGAAGCATCAGACTTTGTATATATATGTACATCGTGGGAAGGTGGTGTGTCTCATCCTTAAACCAGGTCACTGTGACCTCAATTTGACCTCTAGTAATAAAATAGTGGTTTCCAGAGCATATCTCTGCTTCTGTTTCATGAATTGACATCAAATGTTTTGTATAAATAAGGTACATCATGGGAAAGTTTTATGGTGCATCCTAAAATAAGGTCACTTTGACATCAATTTGACCTTAAATACAGTGTAATACAGGTTTCCGCAGCATATGTTGGTCACTGGTTATGAACGGGCTTCAAACTTTGTAGACATGTAGGGAGCGGGGTTATTTGTAAAGCGTAGGTATGTAGGGAGTGGGGGTATCTGTGAAGCATAGATATGTAGGGAGCGGGGGTATCTGTGAAGCATAGATATGTAGGGAGCGGGGGTATCTGTGAAGCATAGATATGTAGGGAGCGGGAGTATCTGTGAAGCGTGGATATGTAGGGAGCAGGGGTATCGGAAGTGTAGATATGTAGGTAGCAGGGGTATCTGTGAAGCAAAGATATGTAGGGAGTGGGGGTAATGTAGAGAGCAGGGGTTATGTTATGTAGGGATCGAGGGTATCTGTGAAGCATAGATATTTAGGGAGCAGGGGTAATGTAGAGAGCAGTGGTTATGTAGGGAGAGGGGGTATCTGTGAAGCGTAGATATGTATGGAGAGGGGGTATCTGTAAAGCGTAGGTATGTAGGGAGCGGGGGTATCTGTGAAGCATAGATATGTAGGGAGCGGGGGTATCTGTGAAGCATAGATATGTAGGGAGCGGGGGGTAATGTAGGAAGCGGGAGTTATGTAGGGAGTGGGAGTATCTGTGAAGCATAGATATGTAGGGAGCAGGGGTATCGGAAGTGTAGATATGTAGGGAGTGGGGGAAATGTAGAGAGCAGGGGTTATGTTATGTAGGGAGAGGGGGTATCTGTGAAGCCTAGATATGTAGGGAGCAGGGGTAATGTAGAGAGCAGGGATTATGCAGGGAGAGGGGGTATCTGTGAAGCCTAGATATTTAGGGATCGGGGGTATCTGTGAAGCCTAGATATTTAGGGATCGGGGGTAATGTAGACAGCAGGGGTTATGTAGGGAGAGGGGATATCTGTGAAGCCTAGATATGTAGGGAGCGAGGTTATCTGTGAAGCATAGATATTTAGGGAGCGGGGGTATCTGTGAAGCATAGATATTTAGGGAGCGGGGGTATCTGTGAAGCATAGATTAGTAGGAAGCAGGGTTAATGTAGGAGTAGAGTTAACGTAGGGAGCGGGGGTAATGTAGGGAGTGGGGGTATTTGTGAAGCCCTCGCTTCAAGTGAAATGTAGTTCGTTAAAAAAATCACAATTAAAAAATTGATGGCATAAAAAATTTAAAACCAGTCTCATGACAAATGATGTTTATTGTGTGGTTTATTCATGTGACCTCGATTAAGGGTGACAAGATTCCTGTTGGATCACTTGTACGGATCTCAAAGTAACCACACTCATAAACTCGGTTAATGTATTATTTCAGGGGAGGATGTGTTGATAGCTTTGCATGGACAAGCTCAGGATGCAAACATGAGGCTGGATAAAAACTCGCTGAGAATTGAAAACACTTTCATTTCCATGGCCAATGAAAGGACAGTGACAATACACAACAGGACTGATGTGATCGCTCACTTCCGCTGGACACAGTTCGCTACACAAGAGGAGGAAGACCAGCAGAAACACAGGTCTCAAAAATGTTATCAATTAAAAGCTGAATTTTAGCTTGTCTGTAGTGCATGCAAGGTCACCAGTGAGATAGGAATCAAGGTCACTTTTAGCATGTAGGTAGATTTTATTAGCTCACCTGGCCAAAAGAGCTATTGCAATCTATTGTCTGTTGTCCATAAACCCTTTATTTAAAACAAGTACTTCTCAATAACCACACAATCCAAGGTGATAGGAAAACAGATTTGCAAATAAAAAGTGGTTTCTAAGGGTAAAGAAAAAGGGGGAAACATTTTGGGCATCTAAAATATCTACAAAAAAACGCCCAAATAAGGGCACCTTGCAACATGTTGTGCAATATATTCATGGTAAACCACTCAAGCATCTTCTTCTGAAGAAAGGAAAGGTCTAGAATAATGATGTTTTGTCTATATCTAAGGTCACAAAGGGACATATTTGTTAAAACTCTTAAACAACTTCTGAAGAACGGAAGGGAGTCGTAAGTCTTGGCTGAGTTATTCAAGGGCATGGAGTGCTGCAAAATTTGCAAAGATCACTGGGTTCAAATTTGTGAAAACACTCAAAAGATTACTTCTGAAAACCAAAAATTTTATGTCCCTTTTTTTGAAAGTTAGCCAGAATTTTGTCCAGGCATATCATTTATACTATTTCACCTAGAGTCATCAGATTGAATATACCAGCATTTCTAGGGATAGTGGAGTGTTTTGTACAAAAAGTAGGTCACTGACCTGTGCTTTGACCTTTGACCTTATGTGAAAAAGTATATCTGGATATTAATATAATTTTCTATTGCACCTGGAGTAACCAGTTTTAGTATGCAAGTATATCTTGGCTGGCAGAGTGTGTGCGGTCACTGAGACCAATATCCTGAAAGAGGTGTACTAACAATGACTGGTGGGGGTCTGACATTCTGACAAAGCTCTACTGGTTTTGGTTGTCACTACCCAGGTTCTCATTTTGAGGATGCAACATTGCTTCGATTTGACCCAGATTTACAGGATGGTTGTCGTCAATGAAGCAGAAGTTGAGAGAAATGTCTAAAAAGAGTTTTGAAATGATTAAAATCTCAACCGAGTAACTTCATATCAGTCTTTGAAAAGAGGATGGCCCCTGGGAGACTAAGTGGCAGGGTCATAACTTTCTTATGGCCAAGATTCCAACCCAATAAAACCATATACAATTGCTGGACATAAAGAAAAAAGTACAATCAAGGTATTACAATTGACCCTGGGGATTACAACTTTGAAACAGTTTAGATCCCCACATGCATAACCAAATATACCATCGCTGGGTATAAAAAGATGAACAAAATCTTGCTTCCAGAATCAACCTTGGGGTCTGCTTCCACCATTAGCGGATTAAGCCTCTGGGTCTTAATATTGAAACAATTGAGATCCCCACCCTATTATCAAATATACAATTGCTGATCATGATATGCTACCAGGATTGTCCCAGGGGAATTGCCCTCTCACTAGGATCTTATTTGCCATACTACTTTCATTGAGAATGTGTTTTGTCATGATTGGTTAAATGTCCAGGTGAGTTATACATGTCCTATGAGCCTCTTGTTCTTAATAATAATTACTTTGATATGCAGCAACTATTTGAATAAAACTAATAAGGTTTAAATTTTGTATACAATCTGAAGGTTGACCAGCACGCTGACTTCAGAAGAACAGTCTGATACAGAGAAGTTTCTCCAGGAGTGTGTCCAGGATCCCACTCTCCGGGACAAACTGTCAATACTTGGACGGACATTCCAGAATAGGAGAATGGTATGAGGACATTTCTGTTTTTGCTCTGAGAATTTCAGGAGTTATCATTGACCTGACTTCCTAAAAGACAAAATTCTATAAAAATAAAATTGTTCCGAAGTCAATTTGTACGAAGGTAATGTGACCCTTTACAGACATATGCCTTCCAGGCAGTAAGTTCCAAACCGATGGAAGACATCACGATGGGTGTGGCCACATATGTGATGCAGTCAACCTTTCACATCACCTCTTCCCCTCAAGGTCACAGAGGTCAAATGTCTTAAAATATTCAAACTTCTTCTGTCTGACCTTTGGTGATGATTTGTGGCAGTAGCATGCTGGGATGAAGACTATCAGTTTTGTTCAAACATATGTCCTTGGCTTTCTATCAAGGTCACAATTCAATAAGTTTTAAAGATTTTAATGACTATTTTTGAATAATCAAGAGACCTAAAGTCATTTTATTTTCCTTGTTGCATGCTGGGATGGATGTTTATTAAAAGAGTTCAAATGAATGACTGACCCACTTTAAAGGTGACAGGAGTCAAATGTGTTAAAGCACTCTAAATGGTAAAATATGTATACGTAATAACATGTTACTGATATAAACATGGTACTATGTCACTGTTAATGGTTTATAACCTGGGTTACTTGTCACTGTTAATGGTTTATAATCTGGGTTACTTGTCACTGTTAATGGTTTATAATCAGGTTACTTGTCACTGTTAATGGTTTATAATCAGGTTTACTTGTCACTGTTATTGGTTTATAATCTGGGTTACTTGTCACTGTTAATGGTTTATAATCTGGTTTACTTGTCACTGTTAATGGTTTATAATCTGGGTTACTTGTCACTGTTAATGGTTTATAACCTGGGTTACTTGTCACTTTTAAGGGTTATTACCTGTTTTACTTGTCACTGTTAATGGTTTATAATCAGGTTACTTGTCACTGTTAATGGTTTATAATCTGGTTTACTTGTCACTGTTAATGGTTTATAATCTAGGTTACTTGTGTCTTTTAATGGTTTATAATCTGGTTTACTTGTCACTGTTAATGGTTTATAATCAGGCTACTTGTCACTGTTAATGGTTTATAATCTAGGTTACTTGTCACTGTTAATGGTTTATAACCTGGATTACTTGTCACTGTTAATGGTTTATTACCTGGGTTACTTGTCACTGTTAATGGTTTATTACCTGGGTTACTTGTCACTGTTAATGGTTTAATATGATGACATATTTCTGTGAATAATTGACACATTTCATTCATTTGATACTCATAGTCAGAAGGCTTTTTAGCCTGATGATAATTGACAAGATGAATTTTAATGATGATGTGGCTAAACTCTGATTTCAGCTGGTAGAAAATGACAACATGCTTTTTAATGATGATGTGGTCAAAATTGAACCTGTTGAGGGAGACATTTGGCCAAACTCAAGCTTCGAGGTTAATGTTATATTCAAGCCGAGAGAAGCGCAAAGCTACACACGGACAGCCTTCTGTGATGTGACTGGAAGAGAGAGTCGTCTGCCCTTGAGAATCCGTGGGGACGGTGTTGGACCAAGTGTACAGTTCTCGTTTGAATCATTAGACATGGGCAACATCTTCATAGGCTCTAAGCACACGTACGAGATTGTGCTCGCAAACAAAGGGGATATAGATGCTATCTACAGTGTGATGCCAAACTCCAGCATCTTTGGACCCTGTTTTAGTTTCAACCCTTCAGAAGGCATTGTGATGCCTGGTGGCCACCAAGCTATACATATCTCATTCACCAGTCCTTACCTAGGGGACTTCCAGGAGACATTCCAGTTCCAAGTAGATGGGCAACCTGAAATACTGGAGGTCCAATTCAGGTACATACAATGTTGTATACTGCCCCTTGTAAATATACAAAGCTATGTATGCTGCCCCTTCTTAATATACCAAGCTCAGTATGCTGCCCCTTGTTAATATACCAAGCCCTGTATACTGCCCCTTGTTAATATATAAAGCTCAGTATACTGCCCCTTGTTAATATACCAAGCCCTGTATACTGCCCCTTGTTAATATACAAAGCTCTGTATACTGCCCCTTGTTAATATAAAAGCTCTGTATGCTGCCCCTTCTTAATATACCAAGCCCTGTATACTGCCCCTTGTTAATATATAAAGCTCAGTATACTGCCCCTTGTTAATATACAAAGCTATGTATACTGCCCCTTGTTAATATACAAAGCTCTGTATACTGCCCCTTGTTAATATAAAAGCTCTGTATGCTGCCCCTTCTTAATATACCAAGCCCTGTATACTGCCCCTTGTTAATATATAAAGCTCAGTATACTGCCCCTTGTTAATATACAAAGCTATGTATACTGCCCCTTGTTAATATAC